CACACACACACACACACACACACACACACACACATATTCATGCGTGTTCACCTCCTCGAGGACGTTATCAGCTGCTGGCTTATATTCTTATTATCTGTCATCAGATGAAGTGATGCACACGGAGATTTAAAGCCGCCGCCGACACACAGCTGCTGCTGCTGCTGCTGCTGCATGTTTGTTATCTGCAGCAGATTCAGGTTTATGTTCTCTAACTAGTGTGTAGAGAAATAAATTCATTTTAGCCAAACACTGGGATGGAGAGTCTGGAAGCATCAGGGCACACATGTCGGCCACTTCCTGTTCACTTTGTTTTTGTTCTAGAAACCAAACCTCACTTTATCTTCAGGTAATTTTACAAACTCGTGACCCTCTTTGGAGCAGACTAAAAGGCTCTTGTTCAAATTATTCATCCATAATTTCAGGTTTATTTCTGTGGAACTTCAGCACCTCCACATTAGGTGATTAGCTGAATCCAAACCCCCTGATCAGGACGTCCCTAGAACATCACCTGCTGATCTGCTCCGGCGCTTTTCTTTTCAAACTGAGCCAGTAAAAGTCTGATCCTCCTTTATTGAAGCCTGGAAAAATTAAAAAGAGTAAAGATCTAACCGGAGCTAATGGACCAGATGCTCGTCTGTAGGCGACGTCGGGACTTTCTGTTTTCCTGTAACTTCTTCAGTCACCTTGGTGTGATCTTGTGTGAACGCTTGCATAAAGCGGCGCCGTACGTCTGCACGAGTCCTATAGATGTAACATCAGGACTCTAAGCTCTGTGACCGTCTCAGCGCTGCAGATCGAGAGGCAGGATTAAAGGATTCTGCGTGTGTGTGTGTGTGTGCGTGCGTGTGGGCATGTGTGTGAGTGTGTGTGGCCTCTCATGCTTTATCTCAGACTAATACACTCGATTCTCTTCGAGGATGACGGCGGTGGAGAGTCTTCGAGCCGCTGTAACTTTAGTGTCAAAGACAAAACGAGTCGGACGAAAGAAAATGGATTTACTGAGCGTGTTAATCCATTAATTTATGGGAGGACCGTGCCGGAGGTGCATTTATTCTGCTTTGACAAACAGTCTCATCCCCTCGTCTTCAACAGGAAACAGAGTGTTGGACCCGGAAGTGAGGACAGATTAGAAAGTGAAGAGGTTTAAATCAGAAATAAAGTCAAGTCTAAAATTAGCTAAATTTTGAATGAGGTCTGGTTCTGTAGATGTCCGTGAAGCTGCACAAGGCCTTAATAATGTCAAGCCTGAAATTAGAAAAAAAAATATGATAGAGACTGTTGCTGCACACGTCTAAAGCTGTAACATTTAAAATAAATCTGGATGTTGGATGTCTATACAGCAGCACAAACACTCAATAAAGGTCAGTCTAAAATTAGGTACATTTTGAATGGAGTCTGGGACAATAGATGTCTGCAGCTGAACAAGAACTTAATTCATTCTAACTGGGAAACAGGCAGTCTTCAGAGTGTTAGACCCGGCCCGGAAGTGAGGACAGTTTAGAGAGTGAAGAGGTTTAAATCTGAACTAAGGTCAGGTCTAAAATTAGCTAAATTTTGAATGAAGTCTGGTTCTGTAGATGTCCATGAAGCTACGCAAGGCCTTAATAATGTCAAGGCTGAGATTAGGAAAAAAAAAAAGAGTAATAGACTCTTGCTGCACATCTGAAACTGGAAAATTTTAAATGAAGTCTTAAATTAGAAAAACTTAGAATACAGTCTGGACTATGGATGTCTATACAGCTGCACAAACACTCAATAAAGTTGACTCTAAAATTAGGTAAATTTTGAATGGAGTCTGGTACGATAGACATCTGCAGCTGCACAAGAACTCTAACTGGAAAACAGACAGCCTTTATGAGGACCAATTTGCATTACAGACACAGACGTGAGGACATTTTGGCCCGTCCTTTATTTAGGACGGACGTTTATGAAGCCGCTTGAGGATTCAGACCTGGTTTCAGGGTTCAGGTTATAGGTTCAGATCAGTGCAGAGGAATGCATTACAGGGTCCTCACAGAGACAGAAATACAGAAATACAGTTGTGTGTGTGTGTGTGTGTGTGTGTGTGTGTATGTGTGTGTGTGTGTTGCCACCTGGCCGACTCAGATCAGATGCAAATCACAGTGGAGACAAAGACGCACATAAATATTCACACACACATGCATGCATATATTACTACACACAATTACACTCACTGACACGCACACCAGTGCAGCAGTAATACACACACACAGGTTATACCGATGCTACAGTCGGTCCTTTTCACAGCCGTTGTGTTGCAGCAGAACCTTCAGAACCTCGTTCCTCTGAGCTCCTCAACGTGACGTTTAACAGTTTGTACCTGCAGACGGACAGAAGGTGAATCCAGAATAAGTTTAGAAGCTTGTTGACATTGTGCTATTTACTGACCGTTAATTAGCACCAGAAAACATGAGAGAAACACAAAGAATCTTCTGAATCAGTCGCCCTGCGAAGTAATAAAATGTTCGCTGACAATGTGTTTCTGTGTTGTTCCCCTGCAGCGACTAAAGCTCAGAGAGTAATTGTGTTGTTGTGTTTGAGCCGTGGCAGCTCTTTGTTAGGATTAAAGGACGCTAATGATCTGAAGATGTCAAAAATCAGAGCTCAGCTGTAGACGTTCATGCAGTTACACAAGGACTGAATTTAGTCAAGTCTGAAATCAGGAAAAAACTGAATGAAGTCTGGTACCGTAGATGTCTGGGCAGCCGCAGTAAGACCTAATAAAGCTGAGTCCAAAATTGGCAACTTTTTGAATGAAGTCTGGCACAATAGATGTCTGTGCAGCTACACAAAGAGAGAATAATGTTAAGTCTCAATTGGTAATATTTTGAGTGAAGTCTGGAACTGTAGATGTCTGTGCAGCCACATAAGAACTGAACCGAGAAAATCGAGAAAGTTTTGAATGAAGTCTGGCACTGTGGATGTCTGTGCAGCCGGTCTAAAATGGGCCAAAGTTTGACTGACGTCTAGTTCAATAGATGTCTGTTTGGCCACACAAGGATCCAGTAAAATTAAGCCTAAAATGGGCTAAATGCTGAATGACTTCTGGTACTATAGATGTCTGGGTAGCTGCACAAACAGCAGAAAATCAAGTCTAAAATCAAGAACATTTTGAATGAAGTCTGGTACTGCAGATGCATATGCAGTCATCCACATTTGTGTATCATAATAATAATTAAAATAGAACCAACCTACATAACGTTGCCTAAAATTTGCAAAAAAACTGAATGAAGTCTGGTTGTTTGATCAAAGACTAATATTTTAGTATTTAGTGCAACAGAAACATTTTTGTCATCACCCAAAACGGACCTGCAGGATCCTGTGTACTGATTGGAGAATTCCATGAACAAACAGGTGTACAAGTGTTTTCAGCGAAGTGCTTTAGAGAAGAGCTTGTCCTCAGTAGGTTGGGTTACTGTACCACACTGCAGGTCTCAGGTCATAAAGCTTCACATGTGGACACGAGGAGGCAGCTGAACCTGTTTGTTTCTGACCTCCCCTCAGGTGATCCACGTCACGGGCCGCCTGCGGATCCGGATGGCGCTGACTCACAGCCGCTCGGTGCCCAATCAGATCATGGGGATGGTGGTGGTGGCTCACGCTCTGCCGCCGCCGACCATCAACGAGGTCCGCATCGACTGCCAGATGTTCGTCACCAGAGTCAACATGGACCTCAAGATCGTCTACTGCGAGAACAGGTGGGAGGAACTGGGCTCTGCGGTTCTGGTCACGTGTTCTGAGCTGCTGTACGGAGGCCCAGAGAGGCCAAAAGTCCAACTCAGAATGAGCTAAAATTACCGTAAACTCCGAACTATTGAGGCATCTGAATATAAGCTGCAGGTGTCCATGTTGGAACGAGATATTTTTTAACCTTTAGTTAAATACGTAGCGGTAACGTACACAGACACGTACCGTAGATGCTTTTTTCTGAACAGTTCCTGTAATACGGCTGGTTAAGGAAATAAAACTCCAGCACCCTACCAGGAAAAGTCACTGATCGCTATCTTCATCTTCCTCCTGCACTAAAACCACTAAAGTCGTCTTTTTCAGTGTCTTCAGGAGCTGAACAGCCTCAGAATCACTTCGTCACTTCCTCAGTCTCTCTGTCATCGTCGCTCTCAGCGTCACTTTGGTCTCGAGGCAAATTTGTAAAAATCCGTAAATTAGCCGCATCGTTGTTTAAGCCGCAGCGCTCAAAGCGTGTGGAAAAAGTAGCGGCTTCTAGTCCGGACATTACGGTAATGAAAGAACTAAGAACTTAGTTTTGGAAATAAATAAACTCTGGATCGACTCTGTTGCATCGTTTCTCACATATCGGCCACGATTCTTCAACAATCAAACAAAAACAGGTTTAATTTGATGCATTAATGTCGTATAAAGTCTTTAATGCGACCCTCCTTGGCCTTCCCCATCAAGTCCTACTTTGCGATCATTTCAGTCATTCCTCCACCAGCGTCCTTCGACCGCCTGCTTCTGCATTCAGGCTTCACACCTGCTGTTCGGCGGAAAAAAGGAAAAAAAGTTGCGTGAGCTTCTTATTCATGAGGAATCTGACCCAATCCTCCCGGTTTAACAGTGAAATATGTCTCTGATGGATCTATCTCCTTCCTGTGTCCAGATAAAGCAGATAGGCATCAGGATCTGGCGCCGGAGTTAACCGGCCGACCGAGCAGATTCGTATCGGGCCAAAAAAAATCAGCCCTTCATGTTTTATTATAAAAAGAGAGGAGGGGGAATGATAGTAGACAGATTGCTTTTTTTGTGGCGGGAAGAAGGGACACAATGCAGGCGGATGATGATATTCAATGCAGAGCGACGGAACAGACAAGCGTCGCTCCCATTACAGCCCCATTTTGAGGATGAGTTTCTAAGAGAATGAGAAAATGGGAGGCAGGTTTTCTAAAGAACAGAGTGTGCTGTTATCTGCCTGCCAGACATTAGCCTCCCCCCGCTCGGCCTCCGTCGCTACCAAACCAGGGAAATTGTTCTGTCTATCCTGTGGCAAATTTGCTCAAATTAAACCTTTTAAAGCCGATGTGTGTTACCTGTACAATAGACAGACGGCAGCTTGTTGTCGGCTTATTAGCTTCCTGTTATTTCTTTATTTCCTCGCCTGAATCAGAGTTTTTAATGGAGGACGACTGAACTGTTCCGTCTGACGAGTTCTGGGTTTCAAAGTCCAACAACAGCTTCATCTCCAGTTCAGCAATATGGACAGAAGGAGATTATTCACCAGAGGACAGAGAGTTAGATTAAACGATCAGCTGATAGATCAGCTGTCCTGTGATCAGCTCATCAGTCTGACAGTAAACTCTGTGGTTTCAGCTCCTTCTGGGTTCTGTCCTCTGCACCGGTAAACTGAACATCTCTGGACCGAACCAGATGTCTGAGGAAACTCTGATCCACGTTTCTCAACATCTTCTGACAGTTTGTTTTATTATTTATCATGAAAACATCCCAAACATCTCAACCATCGGTCAGTTATTCCAGAAGAGAACAGACAGATTTATCCACTGTGAAGATAATCGCTCGCTATGAGAGCTTGTTTTAATAAATACTCAGAAATATGTTCACCAAGTATTCTGATGATTAATTCATAAAAACTGTCTAAACTCTCTGATTTCAGCTCCTTCAGTCTGAACATCTTCTGGTTTCTTTCCTCTGTGACACTAAACTGAACATTTGAGGAAACTCTGATCCACATTTCTCAACATTTTCTGACATTTTAGGACCAAACAGCTGATCGATCAATCCGTAAACTAATCAATGACTGACTGGCGCTGGAGAGAATCACTAAAGCAGCTCTGGTGTGTGTTGGTCCTGCAGAAGAATCATGTCCTTGTGCAGACGTAAACAGTGTTTACTGGGTTTTCTTTGACCCAACCACAGGTGAAGCTGATGAACGTAGTGAGCAGAACATGTGATGCAGCACATGAACCAGAACAGGTTCTAACCGGTGCAGCAGAACAAAGCTCCGCTGCTTTCAGCCTCACACTGGGTTTTTTTCTTTATCACATTTTCTCAGAGTTTCTTTGTCAAACGTCTCCGACTAGAAATATTAAAGAAATATTCAGATAGAAAGTAGAATCCACTGGTTGGAGATGAGTCCTCCAAGTTGAGCCATTACAGGAAGTCGATCTGTTAGAAAAAAGCTTTGGACTGAAGCCTGAGAAGCTTCACGTCACAAATGGTCGTGAATGAAAGTGAAAGATGCTTAAAACCAGCAGAAGACTGACCAGCTGTCCTCTGATCTCTGAACATGGACATACATAGAACCGTGGTCACCATCGCATCTTTGTCAAACTCTGCGGTTCTGTTTGACCCGAAGCTTCTCTGAGCCTCAGCAACAGACTTACAGACGAACGGTTCACTTTTCACCTTGTCTATTTTTTGCACTTCTGGTAGATTAATCATAGCAACTGGACTCGCTTGAGTTCCATGAAGAACGTTACCACGTCCACACCGAGCCACAGCAGACCCTAACGAACCCCACGGTGGCAGGGGGAGCACTAACGATCCACATAACGAGGGGGAGGAGCACCAAACCCCCAACTGAAACCCAAACTCAGGTGTAATGGCTCCTTCAGGATATCAGTATGTGGAACTCCCAACTAGTCAGTCAGAGCTGATGAAGCCTCTTGGATGAGAAGTGGAACATCTTCAAGGAACTCAAGCAGGTCCAGTTGTTACGATTAAACTACGAGAAGAACCATGAGCTGGAGGACTGAGGATCTTCACAGATAGTATTTGACGCTTTGATTTATTTATTTTGCGTATTTATTTCTATCTATGTCTGTATCTATATTTATTTCTATCTATGTCTGTATCTATATTTATTTCTATCTATGTCTGTATCTATATTTATTTCTATCTATGTCTATATCTATACTTATTTCTCGAGTGTTTTTATTCTTTATTCTTATTATAGTTTCCATGTGGAGCAGCTGCTAAACACACTTCACTGCTCGTTCTGCTGTGTGTGACTGAGACCAGTAAAGGTCTGGAGTCCTGAATAAGCAGCAGATGGGAGGTTTTGCAGGAATAATCAAGGATTCAAGGATTCAAGGAACTTAATTTGTCCTGCCAGCTCACGTTCACACATCAGTGGTACGAAATTCGTACTCAGGTCCCGTTTTCTTTAAGAAAGCCTAATTTATAATGTACAATAAAACGAGAGCAAAATATAAGTGAAATACAGCAATAGAGTGTTGTTGAAAAAAAAATAAAAATTAAGAGTAGAAAAGCCACAGCTAGTTGTTTAAATATTGTGTCCAGTCTCTGTGTTTGAGGCCCAGCGCCGTGCAGAGGGCCGTGGATGTCCTCCAGGCAGGTCTTTGTTCTGCTGGAACGTCGCTGTCGCCTGCTCAGTCTGAACAGCTTCATTTAAACTGCATCTAGTTGCATTTCATCTGCGGGTACAAACTGAACCCAGACCCAGACCGTCTGATCGTCTGCCTGTGAGCTCACCTGAGCGGTGACTTGGTTTCCTGTGCTCGTGTCTCTGAGTTGTGACTCGTCACGTGTCTGCTGTGTTGCAGGATCAGCGACTACATGGACCTGACGCCGGTGGACATCGTGGGGAAGCGCTGCTACCAGTTCATCCATGCTGAGGACGTGGAGGGGATCCGGCAGAGCCACCTGGACTGTGAGTCACGTGACCGAATGCTGCTCTTTGATTGGGCGACTTGCTGAGCGTTATTATGAACACTCGTGTCTCTTACACTCGGTTTAACCGAGTCAGAGCCGTGACTGAAGGTGACGCATGAATCAAAACACACGAGTTGTTCTTTCCAACATACTCAGTTCCTCACCTGGAAGAAAACAGTCAGTGAGAAAAATCATTTATTTTTATTTTACTGTTTTTAAAACAGAAAAAACATCATTACTTTTATTTTATTTTATTAAATTTACTGATTGATTTTGCACATAATAGCTGCTGTAATTACAGAAAAAAATATTCATTTCTAATATGCATTAACATAAAAAGGCCAGACATGTAATTAGTTTAATTAAATTAATGTTTTTAATGAAGAATCATTCTTCTAAAATGTTTAACTGTAAAACTGCACAGTTTCACTGCATTCAGATCAGCTACAAATGTCATGCTGCAGATATCTGGAGGGTTTTTGTGGTTGTTTTCTAATATTCCAGCGTTTCTCATTCATTCTTATAACTCCACCGCCGCCGCCAGATGTTTTCAGTGATTGGTTTTTTACAGTGTGTATCATTTAGGTGTTAAAACAAATGATTTGATTACAACAAGAGCAGCTGGACGTCTGTTTGTCTGACTGACAGCAGTGAGTCCAGCTTCAGGTTGTTCTGCAGCAGCTCAGCCACTAACAACATTAACACGCTGGTACCTCTAATAACACCAGCTCCAGAGTTAAAGCTGCTCTCGGATCAGTTCCAGCGCTTCGTTCTCACAGTTCACCTCTGAAAGTTTAAGGCCACTTCGAGCACCTCTCAGTATCTGGAGAGGTTCAGCAGCAGCTCTACAATCGTATTACTGCTGTCAGGAGGAATAACCCAGAGAGCCGACGGACTCCGGCAGCTTCCTGTTTACTGCTGTCGGGATGATTTGCGGCGCCGCTTGCTGCTGCTGCTGCGGTCGCATCTTTGCAGCGCCGCTGAAAGCCGAGGAGGCGTTCAGAGCTGAAGACTTTCACGGCGTTTAGGCCGAACGCCAAATAGTAAGATGAAGGCGACGGCGGCCTGATGGGAGTCAGGAGCTGCTTCACTCCCCATCAGAACCGGTCCGGCTGCCGAGAGCTGCTTCTGTCTCTGAGGAATCGCTGAACGAGCCGAAGAGCTTCTAATTTTCCTGCTGCTGTTTCTCAGACTTCTGTTCTGCTGAATCAGTCTGTGGGTTCACAGCAACAATCCACAGATTAACCAAACTGTGGAAGTGACACGGAACCAACTAACTCTGGTACACAAGGTCCAGTCCATGAAAACTCCAGCAGACCTCCAGAACACCTGGTTCTGTACCTCCAGAACCTTAATCTACTGACCAGAGTTCTACCTTCAGACTGTGAATGTTCCAGAGTTCCAGGTCCTTGAAGTCCACAGAGGAGGGTCCAGATTGATCACTTTAATGGACTTTT